CTAGGCAGGTATTTAATTTGTACGAAATACCCTTCGAAATTACCCACGGCACGTTGATATAAGTATTAATTTGGAATTCTACAGCCGGTAATGAGTTTGCAATTTCCTCAAGGCATATTTGGTCCATAAGACTATGAGGTCCTACCTCAAATTTTGAAACAAGTCCTCGCTCGCACAGCTGTCTAAAAAATAATCTAAAAGTTTCTTTCAAAGCGAGAGTATACGTTATATTCCGTCGAGAGTATGTGGAATTAGCGCTTTGTTTGAATTGTCTATTTTTCGATTCGTTTCTTATTGTGCTTAGAGCAATTATTGGCCCTGACTTTTGCATTATTCTGGCATAGTGTACCATATTATGATGTTTGGCTTTTAGATTATCTTTAAATAATTTAATATATAATCTATGGTGTTCAGTAACATAGTTGGCGAGTTGAATGTAACATCCCGGTTGAATGTCTTTTGCTGCAACAATGTCATAAATGTTTCTGAGTGTCAAGTAAAATTCCCACACTTCATCCGGAGAAACATAATCGCCAATGAGCAGAGGAAAAATATAGACAAAATTTACCATTTCACTACCTGTCATTGAGAGCTTTTTGTCTTTAATTTCGCTATAACGAATAAGCGGCGGTTTATTCGTTATGTTATTGGCATTATAGTTGAAAGTGCGCATTCTTTCGTTTAATACTTCGAGTGGTATTTTTTTATTTGCATTAAAAATGTAGTAATGAAGTACATGAGCCATGCCATATTTAAAAGCTCCTTCAGACAAGTCATGTAACGGATCCACATAAAAGTTTTCGTAAATGTGGAAGAAATTTACGTCATTCCAAATTGAGCGTTTTTTTATACCACTCAAAGTCAGTCCCATTTCGAGGTCTTTTTCATATTCTCCAACACGTCTTAATTTTTCTTTCCTTTCAATCAAATCAGTAGCCATCTCTTTGCCAGAAAGATTGCAAAACCGACAGAAATGAGTTCCCCTGAAGCTTTCCACGAAATCAAAAGCTGAATTTATTCCCAGGTTATCTCCAGTGAACAATCCCAAGGCAAAGAAAATAGTTTTATCTATTCCTTTCAACTGTAAAGTAATTCCGTACTCTTGTAAAAAATTTATTTCATCAATGAGGATACGATAAATACTTTCATTTCCGAAAGCTTTTCGATCATCCGCGTGGAAAAGCAACACGAGAAAAATATTTTCAAGCGTGGATTTAAATTCGGGTGGTAGGCATGGGATCGTACAGTAAACGCCTCCTAACTTTTGTATTCCAGCGTGACTTCCTAGAGGATTATTCACTTCAAAATCGTCATAATAAATAAATAGCGGGATGACAGTTTTTCCAGAGAAATTATGTTTGATTTTTTGTTGCCACAGTTCTCCCTGAACAAAATTCGACAGAATCCCAGACTGTTCTGATAAGTCCGTCATGTAGTTGAGAACAGATTCTAGCACTCCTGGGAGACTGAAAAAGCAGTGCAACGTTTTCCGCAATGGTATGAACTGTGCATATACGGGACTTGTTTCTTTTATTATTCTACCATTGATAAGTTTATCTTCTACAGTTTCGCCCACAACGTAACTTTCGGGAAGTATAAAGTCGCCTTTCTCTTTGAAGATATTGAAACGCCGATGTTCAGTCGCTAGCAACTCAAAGGGTGCGGACATTGCATCCAAAGCTGCTGTGAACTCCGTTATTGTAACGTTACATTCAGCTCTGTTTTCCGACGTTGAGATTAACGCTGATTTTATAATGGCAGTCATTGCGTTTATTAACTCTTTTGTACTCTCAACCATTAACTGAACATACGAACGAGGTAAATCAGGTGTCGCGTATAATTTTGTGCAAAACGAAAGTACGATGTCATGCAGTTGTTCTTGCATAGAATCGGATGGCGATTCCCAAAATTTATGTGTTGCAATAGCAGAATCATCAATGATAGGTTCATCGTAGTCTGCATTCCCTATTTCGGGCTCTTTAGAACGGTCTCTACAATGTCGTTCCTGGGATGGAGTTTTTAAAAAACAGCTGTGCGCGAAAAGTAAATGTTTCTTGAATGCATTCCACGTTGTAAAATCGCGGAAACAATCATTTTCTTTACATCTAAATACTGCAGAGTTAGATAAGTTATGCACAATTGTATTGTGTATCTGAAGAGCTTGTACCGACAGCACGAGAAGGCCACATTCTGTGCAATGCGGCATTTTAGCGGCTTGTGTTTTAACCAATGATCTGCAATGAGGACCTAACCTAATCTATACAGCCCGACGGGAGACTATCAACGACTAAACATACCAATTAACGCAGTTTATATAACTCTTTATAATCTATATTATAATCTATATCTATATCTATATCTTTATAATCTATATTATACAACAGTCTTTAAAATTGTACTTCGTATTACGCGAGTGCAAACTTCTTACACATTTGTATCACAGCAGGAATCTGAGCGTCCCACGGCGTGTAGATGTCATAAATGATCTGCTGTAGTACCAACCACGGGCGTTCACTTTGCACTGGGTACTGTGCATGTAAGGCATGAATGCACTTAAAGCAGACATCGACGGCTCGTAATG